CCACTAGAACGAGGTTAAGATCTTGTCGTCTCAACTTCCCCTGTCGACTGCGCGATGCATCAATCATGGCTTTGACCTCTAAGAAAGCCATCTTAGATGACTCAAGTCCCACCATTTCCATCACCTTATCGAGGGCTTCATTCTTCTCGCCCAGCTTCTCTTTCTGACGCATCCAGTCCTCCTTTGCAAATGACTCCACAGGAGGCTCGTCATTTGCTGGCGTATCATCTAGAGGAGGAATGTCGTCAATGGATCCACGACGCGGTGGGACCTTGTTATCAAAGGGGTTGAAATACGGCGATTCTGGTAAGGATATGGCGGCAGGATCAACCTCTTGTTCGGGTTTAGGACTAGAATCAGGTTGGTCTTCATCTTTGTTCTCCTTTTGAGATTCGTTTTGATCTTCTTCTTCAAGGGGTGGGAAATTGTCGGCCTCCTCGTCGACAGGCTTAGTCTCATCTTCATCGTTGCTCGGCTTGGTCTCATCTCCATCGTTGCTAGGTTTGGTCTCATCTTCGTTGTTGCTAGGCTTGGTCTGGCTTTCATCTTCTCTGTCAGTGGCATCTTGGGGTTTGCTCTCTGTTGATTCGACGTCTTTGGTTTCATCTTTATCAACGGTTGTAGGGGTTATTGACTCTGATTCGGCTTTAGTAACAGGTGTCTCATTGGGATCCTGACTTTTTTCGTCACTGTGGGCGTTCTCTGCAACCGGTTCTGGTGAAGAAGATTTATCATCCGCTACCGGGGAGATATCAGCTGTTTCTCGGTCATCCACTTCAGGGCAAGCAGTAGATTCCAAATCGGTCTTTCTTTCATCCCCGTCTTCAGATGAGCTAGTCACAGGCGTCGCACATGGAAGCTCGTTGTCTGTGTCATCGGTTTCGTCTGAAGCATTAGACGGGAGGGCTTCATCGTTTGGAGTACCCTCTTTAATAATATTAGAGTCTTTGTCGCCATGGGATTCCGGGTGTGGCTGTTGGTCAAGGACCTCTTCCACGTTGCCGTCCATAATAGCAAGACCACTATGATATGATTTGGAACGATACAGTCGAGATTCAACGTCAAAATTTACAAACAAGCACACAGAGCATCTATAAATGAGCAGAAAAAAATAAAAGCACCTAGATTTATACTTCTTCCCCGGATCGATTATTAAATCGGTGACTACATCCAGCCGAAGGAGCTTGTTAACCAGATGAGCATCCAAGTTCAGGCATACCAGTAGTATGCCTAGCTTTACTGAGACTAGAGGAGCTGCTGCCTAGTTACAGGTATTTCTATTCACGGCAATTGATGCAAAATGGGTAGTAAAGAAGTTATAAGCAAGAGGTGGCTGGGGTAACAAGGATCTCAAGACAGGGCCCAATCATTTATGACTATTAATCTGTAGGGAGGAGTGATATGTGAAATTGTGCGACAAATGCGCTGCACAGCCCGCCAACGCATGTCAGGTCAATTGGCTGTTCTAAGTTGCCAATGCAATGCTATGCAGTTCGCCTAGGAAGGATTGATATGAGGGTGCTGATGCTGCCTAAATGCTTGGAGTGGGCGACCAATCGTCGCTTACTATTCTCCACACGAAGAGAGAATAGATGCAGTAATAATGCGGGATAAGACAGGGAACAGCAAGCTCTGGCATTTTCGGTACTGATATGAGAATGCCTTTGATTGGACTCTTGTAATCTGCTATGAAGCTGAAAAAAAGATGGCGCTGTGTCTTAACATGAACGAATGAAAGCAAGTCGAGGCCGGATGACTCTTCGGAAATGATTCGAGCGTAAGGGAGGGGGCGCAAGATGCCAGTGATGACTGTGTCTCTAAGCCCGGATGTAACTGCGCCGAGGTCACTTACACAGGAAAGAGTTCGCATATTCCTATAAACTTGGCTCTAAAATGCGCTTCGAACATATAGACTCGACCTCTATGATGCTCAGTATAGCTCATTGCATACGAGATAAAGTCAGTCTCGCCTTAAAGTAGATAGGATATGAAACTGAACCTAAATTTAGACTTGTAAAGTAAATTTAGGGCTGCGTTACGTAGAAATTCTTTTCCTCAGAAATTCGCTGTGGCGTTATATGTTTTGTACCATTCATGTCAAACACTGAACTGACATGGTGAAGAAGACTAGAAGAGTTCAAGTATACATTCTTGGAGTGACATAAAGTCACAGAAAAAAAGATGATCATCCATACTTACTGCTAGTAACAAGCAAGAATTAGATGCTAATGCACAGCACAGCACAGCACATATTGTCATATGCCATCTCACGATATGGAAAACAGATGTTATATAAAACGTCCCGGCAAGGGTATATATGTGAGTATATATGCCAAATGAGTATAAATAATCTATACTCCGTGACTTAATAAGTTCAGCTTGCCCATGAGCAGGGTCTCGAATGTTCAACCAAACAAGCATGTGATTATATTCCACTGAAACCTTTCTGCCTTAACTAATAACTAATCGCTACAAATTGCCTCGTCACATACCATGCCCCTCAAAAGAGCTGCATATGTGAAAGTACACGACGACTTTTAGCCAAAACGGAATGAGGCCTATTACAGCAACCCCGATTTATCATGGCTTTTTACCCAGATTGCGGACGCACCTGTATCTTTCACTCTTGTATAAACATGCATTTAGGCAATTATTGAGTAGATCTAGATCCCACCAAGTTGCCTGTACTAGGTTAGATCGTGAATCGTATTGAGGGCCTGTAAGGCTTGGCTTTACTTATTCATACAACGTGCAGCTTACATGCAGCATACTCACCAGATGCAGCACATCGTCAAATTCCCATCCAGTTACCGTCTTTACAAAAAATTAATTAAATCGTACCACTCGTCACAAGTCATTAAAGCTCGCAGGCACCAAAAAATATCACAGATTGGTAATACATCTAAAATCCCCGCTGAGAGGCCAGAATTGCCTTGCGATTTCGTCTTGCGGAGACATATTCGTGCAACTATTTGTGTTTTCGAATCAGCTGATGGGCATATATGATGCGGATAAAATGGTTTCTAGGCTCAATTTTGAACATATTCTCTCGTATCATGTCAAGGGACGAGCGAATATCTACATGTGGCCAATAGTTAAAGATTCACTTGCCAGAGTACCGCTACTACTACAGTCCATAAGGTCTCCTCCAAGAATAGGATCCCCCAGATATGATCTGTAATACATGCTTGTACACCGACTACTCGCTAAGATGTAGAGCTGCACCTTAAACAACATAAGCTTAATGCAACCTTCCTCATGTAGGTAATATACACAGGACAGTAAATATCGAAACTTTTCCACCTATCAGCCCGGGATATTTCGCTATTTGGGAACACCAGTAATTGTTATTATATGTACTTGGAGTCGGAGAAGCCTTCAAGCGTTAACAGAGTATCTATATATAGATAGATAGTTTCCACCAATTTGTCTCCGTCAACCAAATCATCACTCCAACCCTTTTCATTGCCCTCTTGTCAATCTCGAGCATAACAAACACTCCCCGCCTCCACCATGCAGTTGACAGCAGCCATCTTCACCACCCTCTGCCTCGTCCTCCCCGCGACAGCCGATGTGCGATTCTGCTACCCCATACCAGGAACAGAAAGCACCCCCATCCCTCAGTCCATCCTCGATCTCGATTACCAAGTCAAGGTAGACTGGGGGAATAAACTCTGTACCCAGTCCACTTTTCCATCTGAGGCGCTCCAGATCTCCCAGACCGCTCTCGAAGACGGAATCTTGGCAGAAGATGGCAAAGTCTACGGCGTCGAGCTTGTACATAACTTGCACATTAGCCCATTACTTATCTAAATACTGATTCTATGAGCAACAGGCCCTTCGCTTCATTACGTCCGAACTCATCTGTCTTGTACGTCTTGGTCTATCTTTTTGAGAGTTTTGGTCAGTACTAACACGATATTACAACTATAGAATAACGTTAATGCCCTCCTTGGCGTCGGAGCTTGTGAACAAGGCGGTTTCATGACCCTCGCCGGCCCCTTTGAGCAATGGACATACATTATCCCTCTGAATTAGGGAAATAGCTGCTCACGATGTAATTACACGCACACTCAATTTCGTATTTCTATGCTGCCATTGACAGCAATGGCACAAGGTTATTTCTCCATCGCTGGTAGAATGGGATACAGTCGAGCGACGGGTTTGGCCGCACAAGGTGGAATTCTCAAGCTTTAAAGCCATGTGCCTCTATGCTTTCACTGATTTTATGAACTGTGCTTGTTGAAGCGGACAATCCATGCAATAATTTTGCTCTCTATTGATCAATATTACGAATAAGTTTCCCACTCCATCCTTAGTGAGCGTTCCTCTATTGATTACCTCTATAGACAACCTGGAAGTCTAATGCCCGCTAAAGGCGTCCATAAGGGCAAGCAAAGCAGCTGGAATTTAATTATCACCCTCCGGGAGCCCTTCGGGGGCCCTGCCGGGAGCCTGTCTGCAGCGCTATGCGTACTGTAATTTTTTTCCATAGCATTTTTTACATCAATAGCACGCTTTCTTATATAGCGAGTTGTATACCATTTTAAAGCTAAGGAGATGCTCTTCTTTTTGTATTGAACGTGTTTAAATTTGACTAGACCGTTGCGTGGTTATTTGCGATTGTTGTGGTTGAGTGACTTCGAGGAGGTATACGTTTCTTTCTAAGTGCCCAAGGTTAATGCCTTCCGGTATTCGATTCACAGCAATTTTAACTCCCCCCAAGACCCGGGAGGGGAGAGTGATGCATATCAGCCTGATGCTTCTCAAGGCAACCACGCTAAAGATGGTAGGGCTCAATATGAAGAAAGCCCGTAGCCACAAACAATATCACAAATATCAAGGATATTGACAATTTCAGTAGCAGGGAATAGAATCAGTGCAAATCAGGCAACACCGACGCCCATATCAAGAGTTCCATGAAATCCAGTGCGATGTCTTCTCTCCAGCGTGCAAACCAATCTATACACCAATACGCCCGATCACTTCCATCAAACACATCCGATATGGTGTAGTGGCTAACATCGCTCGCTCTCATCAAATGAACCGAGCAGCCCTGGGTTCGATTCCCAGTATCGGAGTCAAATTTCCTTTTTGCCCTTTTTACCCACCATCACCACTTCCATTTAGTCTACATCCTCCATCCACACGAACTACTCTTTATTTTCGCCACCCCGATCCATTCTTAGCGCATCACGCGATTCGTTCTTCTTTTTTTCTGAATAGTCTACGACCAACTGGCTCGGACTAGATCCTGCAATAGGGTTATCATCTACTTCATGTTCTCGCCGTCCAACGAGTCAAGCGGCAAACCATCTGCTTGATCTTGAATATCCGATATGGTGTAGTGGCTAACATCGCTCGCTCTCAACCTTCAGTTGAAGATCCGAGCAGCCCTGGGTTCGATTCCCAGTATCGGAGAATTATCTTTTTGGTATTCGACATCAATACAATTACTTGAACTTACAATACCTTTGATCCTTCTTTTTTGTCTACGAATTAAGCAAGGTAACATATTCATATCACTATACCAGATCAAGTCACAATGGCACATAGACACAAGAGAGATGGGATAAATCTTCTATCATTCTTAGAGTTGAAAAAAGTCAAAACTTTACCCCTGCAAGCCAAATTTCAGCGTCTTAATAGATCGCAATGTTTGTCCATACCCATATCCAAACCAGCTGTTTTTCCTCCTCTACGACCCATACGGTCAAACATGCAGCTATGTTTCAGGGCTTCCTTTCCACACGAAGCACCCACCGAAGTGGAATGAGAAGGAGAAAGAGAAAAAAAAAATCTTTAATACACAAGGCAATCCTTTTATCATTAAAACTGCCGAACCCTTCTCATAAAGTCGTTAAAAAAAACAAAAGTGTAGTGGTGAATGAGTAAAGCATTGGTAACGTCTTGTACAATGGCAAAGATATCACCGGGAAGTTTCTGTCAATCTTTCATCTGGAGATTTTTTTGTTTAGATGTCAAGGTTGCTCCAATCTATTTGTTGGAAGATGTCTGGCTGCGTGGTTTGAGAGAAGCCAAGGTTTGCGCTTGGCATCTCGGTAAACAGGGACTGGAAGACATCTGTTGTCTTGTCCACTGTTGCCGGGAAAAGCTGAAAGTCAGCGCCTTCTGAGGCATACGACTCGTCAAAGCCTTCATCGACCTCGCGCAGTGAGGTCGGTGTGTATAGTACTGCATTCTGCTGCGCATTGGGAGAGAACTGCGGCTGGCCCATGATGGGAACAGTGGCGCAGGGTTGAGGCTGGGCGTGATAGACCGGCATCTGTTGAGGCATCATTTTGCTGTAAACCTGCTCAGGAGTAGGGAGCTGAGAAGGAATCTGTACGTGGGCAGCGTAGATATCCTCATCGTTGATGATAAAGGTAGAGCCGTTCTGGTAGGGAGGGTACTGCTCGTAGGAGGATGTGGCAGAGACAGGAGAGGGATTCTCAAGAATCAGGTCCATGGCATCAATGGCCTCGGGTTGGGCGCCGTAAGTGGCGAACCAGTCGGCGTTGGTGGGGTAGAGTGGGAAGTCGCTGGTCATGCTCTGGTCCTGCGGAGGTGTGGGCACGCTGTAGCTGGGCGTGGTTGAAGGAGTAGAGACAGTGCCAAGAGGAGGGGTCTGCTGAGCGACGGAACCGTTCTGGCTGGGTGCCTTCTTGCCGTTGGTCTTGGTGCGGACATAGGTCCAGCCGTGAGCCTTCTCCATGTGCTGCTTGCAGTTGGACTCACGCTTCGACTTGTACGGGCAAGGCTTGAACAGACACTCGAACATGGCCGGGGCATCCGAGTGCTTGTCGTTGATGTGGCGGTCCATTTCCTTCTCGGTGGGCCAACCGTAGTCGTGGTACTTGCAAGTAGGGATGGGGCACTTCCAAGGACGAGAGTGAGTCTTCTCGTGCTTGGTGAGGTCGCAGGGGCGCTTGAACTCCTTGGTGCAGCCAGGCTCGCGGCACTTCTTGGGAGCCAGCTCCTCAGGGCTGGCATTCTTCTTCCGGCGGGCCATGGATCGCATGATCTCTTCCTCGTCCTCACGCTGCTCGCTCAGAGAGCGCTTGAGGGGTGTGGGGGATTCGCCCATGTCAATCACCTTACCAGTGGCCATTGAGATGGCAGTGCCGTCCTTCTTGATGCGGACAAGCTCGGCCGGACGGCCGTTCTCAGCGATACCGCCATAGAGACGGACCTCGTCAGATCTTGACGGGGCATTAGCAGGGCTCTCCAGGTCTACGAGAGGTATAAAGCACGGTACGTACTGGTCAATGTCCATGTCGTCGGCAAGGCTGCCCTTTTCCTTGATGGCAGCGAGTTGCTTGCCGTACTGGTAAATCTGCTCCTTAAGGTCGATAAAGTATCCGTTAGTGTAAGGTCGGTCGCCGGGGCGAATTTGTTCGCGGTCGGTGAGATATTCGACTGTGGCCTGAATGCAGCGGACGGACGTGAGGCAGAAATCAAGGTATAAGGCGGCGGACTTGGCCTTTTCCTTTTGACGTAACATCCGATAAGCATCACCCCAAACTCCATCATCGGTGAGAAGTCGACTTACCGGTGCCATAAAGATCAAGGTCTTCTCAAGATCTCGCAGGCAAATAATTTCCTTGGATCGGATGCGTCGGGGCACATCCAGAACAATGGGCTCAAAATCCTTGAGTGTGGGCTTCTCCAGGAGGGGGCGGAGAGTGTGTTCGCGGATGCGGTTGACAGCGCGGTGGCTGAGGCTGGGAAGCATCGCGGTGGTGCTCGAGGCGGCCGACCTTGTCAGGGCGGAGGCCTGGGGCTTCTTTGCTGAGTCGGCGGCAGACTTGTCGTTTACAGAAACGACTGAGCTGCCAATGCCACTGTCGGAGGCATGGTTTCTTGTGCGTCGAACGGAGCGAGGGCGGAGAACCCGTCGCTCAGACTCGGCCTTGTTCATGGCGGGGTCGACGACGGGAGGCGCGAGGAAACCGCGAGGGACAGGCAAGCTTGTGTCCCGGAGTGTCTTGGTCCTGGGACTCTTGTCGGACAGCGAGAGGTCTTGAGCTTTGGAGAGGGCCTCGTCGATATCGTTCAGAGTCATAGCAATACGACGGCGGCCAGCGTCGACGACATCATCAAAGTCAGATTGGGACCTCGTAAGCCGAGGAGGGACGAAGTCGTCGTCTGAAGATGTAGCGTTGGGAGATGTAGGAGAGTGAAAGGTGGCACCCTTTCGGAGGACCATGGCCGTCTTAAGAGACAAGCTGTGTTCGCAGTCGGTTCCGGGACGAGTCACCGGAGTCCTTCTGCGGGGGTTCGTTGAGAAGGACATGGCGGGCTTAGATCTGGATTGTTTTTTTTTCCTTCCCTAGGTGGGGAAGATGTATGAGATATGCCACAAGAGTCCTAACAACGTAGCAACAAGCGGTTAGCTTCCTTGTCGATACAGCAGATGTTGCAGTGAGGCTCTTTAGGAGGGTCGATAGAGGTGTGAGTCACAGGGCCGAGATAGACGAGGGCTATGCAAACACCGAAAAGGAAACGGCGAGTTTTGAGGCGTCAAGGCCAGCAGGGAAGGGGACAGGACAGATATATGAATAAAGAGAAGAAGTAACCCGTACCAATTAGTAGGCTCAATGTGAATGGGCGGTCGGAACCCACAGTGCTGGACGGTCAAGCGAACCAGTGGCGGCTGTCAATGGAAAGCAGACGGTGGTCCAGACGATCAATGTCGAGTAGGAACAGGCCCAATTGTATTTCGATGATTGGAGGCGATGTTCGCTGAGAGTAGGCTGTGCTCGTAAGGATGTCGGGAGCAGGAGCAATAAACGTCTCGAGATGAGATCTGATGAGAAAGGAGAGATGTGAAGCAGGCGGAGAGTTGCGAAAAAAGCCTCGACGGAAGACGGGGCGTAAATTGGATATATGAACGCAAGGACTCCGGCACAAACGGGGGGAGGGTAGCCACGAAGAGGACCGAGACACTCGAGGGAGTGGAATGGAAAGCGGAGAGCCGGGGGGCGTGTGCGAGAGAAGAGGAGTGCAGGGCACGAGCAGCGGTACGAAGAGCAGCGAGTACAAACAAAAGTGACGAGGGAAACGAGACGACAGGCTGTCTATCTGTATGTGTGCACCGCGAGAGGCCGCTGGAATATTGCTGAGAGACGAGGTCGAGGGATGAGAAGACAAGAATGCAGCCAGAATGCGGCGGATTAGAAACCAGGCGGACTCAGCCCACCGCAGGCTGCTGCCTAACAGGTCAGCCCGTTTAGGCATAGCGCGCGTGTGGGCTGAGGCGTAAGCGCTGCGGAGGAGGCGTATCCCTGTCTCTAAGGTTTTCTGAGATAGAGAGAGCCGCAACAGTACCTCAAGCACTAACAGAACTCCGCCGGCGCAGCGCCGTCTCAGCACCATCGATCAGTAGCATGCCTCTAGCGGCATCGCTTCAGGTGGTTGTCAGTGGTTGCGGGTGGCCATTTGGGGGCCGGCACCTGCAATGGCGCAAGGGAGCCGGCAGAGGACGCAGCTACCCGTGATAGTGGCCCAGGTCGCGCAGCTATCGCGAGCAACAAGACGCCATCTTTGCTCCCGTGTATTCCGGGTCGGAAATCAGCAGTGCGACCTTGGCCGTCCGGACTGGTTCCCCGGCTCTCGAGGGCCAGAAAATGAAGCCAGACTCGTCCGCCCAATGTATGAGGTCAGTCATCAGAGCGAACTTGCTAGCAGCTCGTGCTAGTTACTGCGCTGACAAAAAAGGAGAACAATGGACGATTACTACTCGCTTCCGACACTACAGTACTCGTATGCATTGCTGTTATTAATAATTACAAGTCAAGTAACTGCATCCTCTTGGCGGTGGAAGGATTCGGTTCGTCTCGTAACCAGTCTCACGAGAGGACGAGTTGCGAAAACACCAAGCAAAACGAAGCAAAATGCCACCCACAGCGCGATGACGGTGCAAAACGCAAAAACGAAAAAAACAAGGGACCTCGACCTCGCACTCGTGTGACCGTTGGTGACGTGCCGACAGTGCGAGCTCGAGCAGCGCCTTGAGCCTATCGTGGAGCCTCGCGCAGGCGCAGGGATCACTTTCATCTATGTTGGACCTTGCTGGAGT